AGACAGACAGACAGACAGACAGACAGACAGACAGACAGACAGACAGACAGACAGATAGATAGATAGATAGATAGATAGATAGATAGATAGATAGATAAACAGCGCAAATTCCTGCTCGATAGCAGGCTATATATGCGCTTAACAATCTACATTATACCTGATATTAAGATACGTGACCTGATACTGTAAAGTTAGGTTTTCTGACACTAGTAAAACTCTACTAATACCATCTAAATCTTTGGGCTTGGGATAAATATAACACAACAGAAACGTACAAACAGGAGAAGAAGGAAAACGAAGTATAAACTTCTCCGCTCCTGAGCGAGCCAAAGGAGAAATCCCCGGCAATAAATCCCCCCCCCCCTCCTACAAATAGCACTTTGTTGACATGATTAAAGTTTGTCAAACAACACCCTATTTTTGAGGGCAGAGTTGGTCGTTCTGATTTGGGGTTTTCATGGTTTTATTTTAGAAGAATTTGTTTTTTTCTTTTGTTGCTTTTTTTTGTTTGTTTGTTCATTTTTGTTTGTTTGTTTGATGATTTTTTTACTGCAGAAAAGGAGAAAGCAAAGAGTAAAAAGACAAAATACTGTCTTTTTTATATATATCCTAGACAAGACAGAGACTAGAAAACAGAGGAAAAGAGTAAGCAAGAGGACTTGGGATTTTGGGAAAGAAAACGAAAGCAAAACAACTTTCTGCGGATCTCTTTTATTCCTCACTCACATTTTTCTTCTCCCTCCCAGCTTTACAAATCAGTTTCGGTCTTTTCCCCTTCTATTTTTTTTTCTCTAGAAGAAGGATAGACTCCTTGCATCGACCAATACGAGGGGGGGCGGTGGTTCTCTTGAAGTTGAGGGCTGATTTGCACATTAACGAGTATAGAGTCCTGTATCATCAAGATTGTGTTTGGTCCGTCTCTGTCCAGTGTTTAGTTTTAGTAGAGGTTTTACGGTGCTTGTAAGTGTATAAGGTTATATTATGAGCGCCAGAAGATTAGATGTGTTACAAGAGAGTAACAAACATTTAAAAAAAGAAGGAGGGGAGATAAAGACGATAGATGTTTGATAGGAAAAAAGAAGCAAACCACTCCTCTGTCCCGTGTGATAGGCTGCAGGATAGAGGGGGCTAATAGGGGGAAACGAAGACAGAAAACATGGCGTGAGTTAGAGTGTGGTGTTCTGGTTTTGAATGCTTTTAGTTTTTTAAAAGTCTTAGTAAAGAGTGCGCCAGAAGATTAAAGGTGTTACAAGAGAGCAACAAACAAAACAAAAAAGAAGAAGGGGAGATAAGGACGATAGGTGTTTGAAAGGAAAGAAGGAGCGATAGGTGTTTGAAAGGAAAGAAGGAGCAAACCACACCAGAACACCCGCCAACCACCCACTTTGTCCAGTGTGATAGGCTGCAGGACGGAGGGGACCAGTGGGGGGGAAACGACGACGGTGTAGGAAAACATGGCGTGAGTTAGAGTGCGGTGTTCTGTTTTTTAACGCTTTTACTTTAAAAAAAAAAAAATTTTTAGTCTTAGTAGGAGTTTTACGGCACTTGCAACACAATAAGGTCATATAAGTGCCGAAGATTAGGTGTTAAAGAGAGCAACAAACACAAAAAAGAAGGAGGAGATATCAGAACGAGATATGTTTGATAGTAAAGAAAGAGCAAACCACACCAGAGCACCCGCCAAGCACAGACGAACGCTTTTATTTTTCAAGATGTGTAAATATATACATGTATTTCTTAATTGCTTATTTAATTATGTTACTTAATTTAAACGGTTATTGATCTATTCCCTTTTTTGAAAGAGAAGGGTTTGGGGTCGGGGTTTAGATGAACTGTATCCCTTCATAATATACAGAATCCCCGCACCCACAACAAAAAAACAAACAAAGACAAAACAAAGAAAACAAACTTCAATATCAAAGCGAGCCTAGGAGCACAGAAGTAGACATGCTCTGAGATACTGCTTGCTTGCCAAATTAATCAGCCTGCAGTAATCCCAAGAATGTGTGGTTTTGCTCGAGAGTAACACAAACAGGAGAATAGTAAAAAAAAACTAACTAAAATAAAATAAGAAAATAAATAGGCTCCAACGCGTGAGTTGTGGTGAGGGACAGCCCACAGAAAATTACCCCTCGACCAGCGCACGCCATGTCATACATGGCAAGGTCATAAGCAGTACACCC